ATATCCAAAAACTGGTTACTGATCTTGAAAGTGCTCCACGAGCTCTATCCAATGGTACCAATAATAGGTTACAAAATAAACTGGATCTATCCGAAAATTCAATGTTTCCAGCTTCCATACATTTAGTACTGCCACAGTCATGGCACTCATGTCTTGATAATATTATAGCAAGTAAAAGCCTAAAACCAATGTTTTTCATGAATAATTTTAAATAATAATGCAATTTAGAGTTCAATTTAAGTGTTTATTATTGAATAAAAAAAAAATAACACTTCTAATATTGTGTGGCTGGCATACATTTAGTATGGAGCCTGAAAACATTGAATTTTCGGATAGATCCAGTTAATTCTGTTACCTATTACTGATACCGTTTGAAAGAGCTCGTGAAGCACTCAGGATCAATAACCAGTTTTTCGATATCTTGTATAGTTAAGAAATAATCGAGTGAGATCACTTATCGTTTCCACCCTGTATACTATCAGTCTAAACGTCGGCCGNGTTTCCACCCTGTATACTATCAGTCTAAACGTCGGCCGTTTGGTGTAGTGGTTCGAAACGGACTACTATTCCGGAGGTAGCGGGTTCGATTCCCGCACAGTACAAACATTTGTGTGCATGAACATATTTGTTTGTATTGGACTGGGTGTTTTCTATGTATAATAAGTATGTATTTACAAAAAAAAAAAAAAAAGTATTTATGTATGTTTATATCCGTTGTCTAGTACCCATAGTACAAGCTTTGCTTAGTTTGGGACTAGAAGCGCAGTGTAAATGTCCAAGGATATTTTTTTTTTATTTTTTTAAATCATTTATCTAATATTTTCAATGTACCTATCGCTGTTGGTTTCTAGAAATAAATAAATAAACATTCCAGCACAGCCGCAGTGTTTCTAGGACTTTATTAAACTGAAAACATCCGCTCAATAAAAAAAAACGATCTAAAGGACACGATTTAAAAGAGCGACAAATCAATTTCCTGAAAAATTATTACTTGGCAGACTGGAGCGAGATTTCCATCGTTCCTCGGAATGTTGGACACACTAAAGCCACAGGTTCCACTGCGCTGCTGGCGGACATTAGCGAGAAAGTTGTAGGTAGTATATCCACTATTTGCGCAATCCGCAGGCTAATCAGTCAAGCCATGAAGCGAGAGACCACTTCAATTAGCAAAGCAATATAAACCCGCCACTTTGCTACAAGCTATTTTAGTTTGCAAAGTTCTATCTTTCAACTGTGTTGTTTGAGATAGAGTATTGAAGTCTATATGTCATTTGCCACGTTTAGGTAGGTAGCATTTACTTAACAGGCCTAATAACAACATGGGTGGTCACACGCTGATACTAAAAGTCAAAGAAACCTACAAGGACGTTTAATGTCTCACGTTGCGAAGCGATCACCAAATTAAAGTCACAAATGTCTCGAGGCTTTAGTATGTAGATCGATGAAGGTAAATAACTAAACTTACTGTCAAATGCTATCGAGCCGATGGCGGCTGACTACACCTAAATATCAAATGAAACTTGGAGCAACTTTTACTGCGGACAGAAATTTATAAAGGTCGGTACTCTACGTGCTGCTTTAAGATGCTGCATTACAAAGTCTTAAATTCTGAATACTGAAAGGTAATGTTAGTAGGTACATTACCTTACTACTTGTAGAAGTAAGTAGTACTTAGTAGTTGTGCTTACTTGCTTACTGTCTCGTGGATCGCGCCGACGTCCTTCAGCTATTCGAGCGGCTCTTTCAGTGACTATTATTTTTAATGTAAAATAATAAAAACCATTTTAAAGGTAAACAAAAGGATGTACTTAAGAGCGTTTACGCCGTTTGGCGCAAAAACAGTACTTTTTCAACCTGTTACAATCATTATCCAGTTACATTACAAATATGTTATAGGCATAAATAATTAGGCAATTTCGTCGTCTAAATAGTTAGTTGAGAAAATATTTCGATTAGTATAGTATTTAAGAATTCTATCAAAATAAGTCCACACAGGTTTTCAAATTTCCACTTTAGCGTCAGTTTACAAGCTGAAATTTTTATAAAAATACTGTGAAAACGATATAACAAACATTTATATCCTATAGCATAGGTCCTTAGGCAAATAGTTAGTTGAGAAAATTCTTAGATTTAAGCATTTTACAATAAGAAATCACAAATTTAAAGAACGTGAAATACCCAAAAATCAAAGTAATTTTTACACCATTATTCTTCTTTAATTCATCATAAAAATAGCTTAATATAATAAAATAACATCTTCTTTAAAATATTTACTTTGAAACGATATATAATTCATTGTTATTGTTATGCTATAAACATTTGAAAACTATTAAAAAACACCGCGCGCGAATCATTTCCAATGATGCCCCTTGAAACGCCGCGCTTCGCTTAAACGCTCTTAAGTAGAACATTTTCTAAAAACTTAAGCAGTTAGCGGCAATAGGTGGCCCTCGCGCAAGTACTAGCAGTGGGCGCTAAGCCGAAGGGAGGGTGGTCTTTGTGAGGCGGCTGGGGATACAAAGATGTTTCAGTAATATACATTAACTTATTCAGATACTCCGACTGAGTGTTTTCATGCTTTTTCACTCCTCATTTTAATATTTTACAAGTTCACTATTTTTTAAAATGTTTTAAAGAATACTTTAGCGTCAGTTTATTTATAGTAGGTACTTAATCGGCACATAAGTATAATTTATGGCTGCGTCTGATATTAAGTAGTATTATTGTTCTTGACAACTAACACCCGTATTCACAAACGATGCTTGCTTAAGTGAATCAGAAAATCGTACGCACAGCGTTGAATAGAGCTCTGTGATTGGTTGGTGTGTCACCCAGTGCGTCCACGCGCACTGTGAGACCTCATAGTAATGTTTGTGAATATGGGCGTAAGTTAATTTACACTAATCTCGTTCTACAAAATATCGGGGTACTACTTACATTGAAAATAATTTTCGCATTAAAGAAACGCTTTTCCCACGGAAAGATCCAATATTCTTTTGTGAATATTTAATAAAGTATCCACTGTGCCAACAATAGAAAGATAACGAGCTAACAAAAACCGACAAGACATGAATTCTTGGGTGACCATAACATTTTCGTGATGGCATTGTTAGTCGCTAACTGAAGATTAATGTATGTCAATGTAAACGCACGATTAACGCTTAGTAAGTAAATGGAAAGCTAATGACTCGTAGCAGTCATTGTAGTTGTGTAAGGTAGGCAGCACACGAATATACAGTGTGTCCGGGCATGTAGTGATCAAACTTTAAAGGCGTAATCTATGAACAATTTTATCGATGAAAATATTTCAAATTTGGGGCTTGACCCATTTCTCGAAAAATTACATCGATTTAAGTTTTTAATTTTTAGTTTACACCTCTTCTTTAAAAAAACAAGTGAAAGCGTGGGTAGCTTAACATTAATAGGCAAATGTTTAGTGGAGCGATTACAGAAAATAATGGCCTGTTAAGTACATGTTTTTTTGTGTTATTATGAAAGTTCAGAAAACTGCGCAGTTTTTAAAATTATTTTGGACCTATGGAATTTCTTCTTTTTTTTCAACTTTTAAGTTGAAAATTTTAGAATGTTCCGCTAATAGCATATTTTTTATGTTTCTAGCAAAAATTTTGTATCTTGCATCAAAGATAGGAAGTTGATTATTTTTTTCAAAAATCTGCAATTAATAGGGAATCTGTCAAAAAAAAGAAATCTGAGAAAAGTCGACCCAAAAAAAAGATAAAAAAATTTAAAGCCTACTGGGTCATACAATTTGAAAAAATCACAAAATTGACGATAACTTCTAAACTATGAAAAATCGTAAAACATACATGGGGGTGAAATCGATAGGTCTAGTCCTCACCTATCACCTGCCTTCGGCTTGACACCTTACAAGAAACATCCTGTATATTTATCGTATTTATTATGTACCTACACCACATATACTTATAAGCAAGGCAAGTATACTTCTCATTACATATTTGGTAAGATTTTTTGTAAAATGACATCTCATTTCCTTTCGTGCTCAAAAAATATTTAGTACAGTTTCCCTACTTATTGCCTAATATGTATATACATAGCTTGAGATTAGAAGTTTCTTTCGTTTTATTCGGATCTGGGTAAGTAGCAAGTACTCTGGCAGGACAGAGCAACACGGTTTTAATATTTAAACCGAAGATTACGAATCATATTACTTTTAGTAGTTAATTTTGCAGTGAAATTGATTCCGCAAATATTCTGTACAATTTCTACAAATTAAAAAATTGCATAGGTATTACACAAAACATATCAGATTTAGATTTCAGATAGTATTTACTAGAAACCTATATTCTGTTTTTTCTTGTACCATGGAAATGTAGAGTTAGTATGGTACAGAGGACCAGTAACAAAGATTTTTTGGGAAGGGTCTATAGACTTTATCTATCTTAGTTATGATGGAGAGCAAACCCAAAGTCAAGGGGCAAAGGTTTGACTGGGTTTGAGATCAATGCCACCCTTTGCGGCTATCGCTCTGAATTAGTCAATTCAATTTGTGACCTTGTAGGCCCTCAGTCAGTGATTCACTTCATAATTAAATTGAGGATTTGGGCATGTTTGACTAAATTGCTTTAGACATTACTACAACTTCATTCCAAGGAAAGCTAAGTTCTGTGTCGAATTTCGCTGAAAATTTCCATCGGTTTTATTTCCCTAGACAGGCGAATGTAGATATATTCAACATATTTTTAAGTACTTTGAGGTTGAACCAAATTGGGTCAGGTGGTACCGGTAGGCAGCAAAACGCGATTAGTCGGCCGATACCGCGGGCGACTTCCAAGACGTTCGCTGCGGCTTTGCCCAAACTACTGCCATGTTATGATTGTATTATGAGAATCCAATTTCTGAAAGTTTACAAAACACATCGTGTTTCCTTAGTAAACTAAGTACCCACTTTATGTTAGTTTCAGATCAAATCAGATGAGGATTGGAGGTAGTAAACAAAAGGCATACAAGAGCAACACTCATTTTTGTGTATAGTATTTTATTACGAGAAGTATTCCAAAGTCATGACACACATAAAAAGTAATAACAGATAAAATGTTTTTAAACTGCACTGAAATGCACTTAAAACTATTAAGTGTGTTGTTCAGACTAGAATTACTTGATGCATTTTTAACGCTAACACCTGCTGCTGCAATATCTTAAAACGACTTCATAACAAAAATTGTAAGTTAGAAACCACCTTATATTTAGGTACATAAAATTAGAAAACGTAATGGATATCTTAAAGAACAAAATGTAATTTATGATGAATAATACTTATTGCTAACAATATCAACTACGGCTAGGTACCTAGATACATGCACACCAATAACGTCGTCATTTTACAAACTAAGTATATAGTCATGAACAAAACAACAAATGGACGATCTAATAAAGCATAGACACGGTCAGCTTTGCATACGATAGCAACTTTTAACGCGCTGCTAGCACGACGAGAATAACTCATAAAAATCATTAAATGCGAAAATGGATCAGAGGCGTGTGCGAATGACGGTTTTGATCGAGTGCCAATAATGAGGACGGACCTATACCTACGTGCACATCACTGCCTATATTTAGGGGCCCGGAAAATAACATCAATCTTGTGTAAACAAATTAACTTTTGGGAGAATATCTACTTACATCTGATATTTGAGTGCATAATGGTATGAAAACTTAACAAATAATATAAACGAAGAGAACTTTGAGCATATGTTATAAGATGTAAAAAACACTCACAAACTCTTTGGAAAATAATTATGCAGAGATAATAACCTATTCATTTTAATAATTATAAGCCGCCACCGCCACAGCGAATTCTCTTGGTAGATAATGTTCCATCATGATAATGTATTTGACAACGGTCAGCTTTGTTAAGTAAAGGGGGATAAAAGAGAAGGAGGGTATTTTCAGGGGGTTTTTAAACAGTATCAGTCCATCAGTATCAGCGGAAGTTTTCTGCTAACGAATCTCCGCGAACGTGTTCGAGTGGGTAGGCGGCTAAATGATCAGCAAACTTGCACCAACTAAAGAGCTTACGTAACTCATGTGGCTCCGTCGGCCTCATTTGCCGAACGGGTATCCCGTCCAACATTGATTATTAAAGTTAGGCTCTTTGAATATAGCAATACCAACGTGGGCAACATTCATTTTCAAAACTACGAACAACAAAACTATGAACAATTTGAATCATCATTGATCAGAACGGTTCAAACTCTCATTTTTTCAGATTGGAGTTTATTTTAGAATTCTAAGCCCTTACAATCGCACGTTCCATACAGCTTTGGTGTTCTTTGAATAATTTCCATCATCTGTCAAACATCGACGGTATTTCAAGAATTGGGTCGGTGTGATATTTCCCCGTGACAACTGCGCGCAGAATGGCAAGCTCGATTTCAATTAAGCCCGTATTGTTTTTCTCATAGCTTTTGGCATACATAATTTAAATTAACATACAATGAAGCTTCCTAATTAGATAACAATTGTTGAAATAAGCGAATAAGAAACGCAAAAATGAGCTTGGATATACGTAACAAAATAAACCGAAACATGGTCACAAAATGGTTTTAAATCATTCCTGTAATAAATCAATCATTAAGAATCTCGGACTACATCATGGAACATAAACGCAAGTTTCTAACGGAACAGCATCTAGTTAGTGCTCAAATCTATTAAGCTTGCCACTCTGTGCCGAATCCTGTTCAAACATTGGCCTTGTGTGTGCAGGTCGGTTTAATCGGAGTAGAGTCCTTCGTACAAAGAGCGGGGCAGGTGCTCGGCGAGGATGGACTTCAGCTTCTCACGAGGGGACACCGGGGTGTAGCGCGCCAAGGGGAAGGTGCGGGTCACGCCGTCGCTCAGGGCCCTCGTCACAGCCGTCAGGTCAGCGTCCTGGATGAAATTACCAGTTAAAAATACCGTAATCTGGTACGGAAATTAACGTTCGTGACAGATTTCATTTCGAGATTTCTTCACCAAGCAATAGTTACGAACTGAAAGACGTAGCGAAGCGATTTCGGAAGTAAATGCTGTGACGAATGTCACTTTGTCTAGGGTGATAGGCATAACGAGTCGACAGCACCTCAGATTACACATTACACTGGTAAATAGCATCTATCACGATCGCATATAAACATGCCAAAGTGTTTAGTTTGATGTGCTGTCGTTTACAGACGACAATTAATACAATAGAAGCTTAGTAGAATAGTACCCGTACCGGCTGAAACTAAAGACTTTTCAGTTGTAGCTACACACTCTTCAGTGAAGAGGTATCGATTCTGTAAGTACCTATCAGTTTTTCAGTAAGGTAAAGTCCCAACGTGCCCCAATGATTTGACGATCAAACAATCGTAAATTGAGAGAAAAAAGTTACCTTATTACAGGTAAGTACAACCTAGTTAATGATTGTGTGAACAGAAAATGAATATTTTATGACTAAGTTATTTATTAACTCCTGAAAGAAAGGTCGTTTTGTAAAAGTTTCAAGTAATTTAATATTATTATTACGAACTACTACAATAATAAGAGTAGGTATAAAATGCATATTAGGATTTCTTTTATGTATGGAATTCGAAGTGAATGATGATTTAAATAACAAATGTCCTGGAAGCTGAAAAAATATCAATCCAGAATCCAGTTCTTAATAAATTGACTCAAATGTAAAGGCAAATATTTATACGCAAAAGTTTACAACGTGAACGTTGAACTTGACTTGTTTGCCAGACTTGTTTATCTTTTGTAGCACTACGTTTTTATTTTACGTATTCTAGACATTTCGTATACTTACGTCACCGCCTAGTTAATGTGTTGAAAATAATTTCTACGAAACCTAGAACTTAGTTCGGAATATATAAGCAGCGGCGATGTCGCAAAGTGAATTTAAAACCGTTTTATTACAAAGGGCTCGGTGCTGATTACATTAACGTAACACGATAAAATACCCAATTTAGGGATGGGAGATTCGAAAGAAATTAGAAACATATTTTCATAAACTAAAGCCTTGCTTGGAAGAGTCTTTTCAGTCTTGTCCTTACAACATAAAAAGGTAAATTATGCTTAAAGCCTAGGTACTCAGGTAAAGTATGTAAATATCAGAGAGTGAATGTAATATGTTCAAAAGGCTGTCCATATACGATGCTTAAGTTATTATTCAGGAAATTCCTTTTTACGTTTGACCCTTTGAGTACGCATACGTATCATAACTTCGCTTTTGATAGGCAGCTAATACGTTCAAAGTTAATAAAAGCGGAATAAAAATTGGATCGGAGTGCTCGGAGAGTTCCTTTCACGTTTTCTAAAATGATACCATACAAGTAATTAACATGTTAATTGGTAAAGTAGAAGTAGGTACGTACCTATGAATGATTTTATGTTGATTGAGTTAGGATGTAAAGGTAAAAATGCTGTATTGGTTGATATTGCAATTTGACTGTTGCAACACAAAAGTTCATCGTCATTCCTACATTTCAGCCGGAATGAAACTGTAAAAGATTCAGCGAGCAGTAACGTGTTCGTCATAAAATATGATGACATGGATGTGTGGCAACGAATTCATTGTAAATGCAAGTGAAATTTGCAGAGCTAGTATTTTCGTGCAGTTTTAAAATAATTTTAGAACAGCCCTTTATTCAGTTTTATCAACGAGTCTTCGCCAGACTCTAGATAAAATACAGAATAAAGGCATGAGAAATGGGGTTGAGGAATGGTTTTGCAATATAATGAGTACCTAGATAATTTGTTTGTTAAACGAATTGAAATGTTTGTGTTTGTATCCATTTATAACTGCCTTTTCCCTAATTAAGAGTTAAATAAAGAAGCATTTCATAGTAGCCCTATAGAAGATAAGCCCACACTAAATTAGGTGTGACACTTACAGCGCTTTTGGTGTATTTCTCGAGGCTCCGAAGTGCCTGCTCGAAGTAATCCTCGCCATATGCGCCCTTCTGCTCGTCACTGAGCCGCTTCCACATGTCCCTAGCTTGTTCCAGAAGTTTCTCCTCGTTGAGCCAAGCGCTCCCTGTTGTGTACTCGCCAGCCGCTACCACCACCTGGTCAGGAGGACTTGAATTAATAAAGTCGTAACACGGTAAATATAAAGCTAAAAGTACTTTTAAACCCACTTTCTGACAATAGCAGCTCAATCAAACCAAATGTGTAGGATTTTACTAATTAACTAATATAGTTAGCGAATGCGAAGTCTTCAATCTATCGATAAATGCTACTACTCTCTACCTATGATCAACAAATCTCTTTGTGAGCATCATCGTAATTTTCTGGCTGAAATAACAAGTGAAATGCCATATCTCGTTGACATTTCAAGTTTTTGCTGAAATATCATCATGTGTTACCTATAAAAACTACAGTTACCTGCGAGATTGTACGCCGAACACAAAATTACTTTTGAATTCAATTTCGAAAGTTTGGAGTTAAGTGAATTGGGTGGCTTTGAATAATACAAGCTAGGCAGTTGCTGAATAGTCAGTACAATAACGTGGGATATTTTATTTAGAAAATTTAAGTGCCATAAGCCTAACATTTACTAACACAGTGGTTTCGGGTGAAAAATCTGACGTCATGCATGGAAATAATGTTATTAGATGAGCTCACGTAGTTAATGTTACCTTGATGAGCTTATTATTTATGCAAAAGTCGTGCCCGCAGACTACGTATAGTTCATTATACAGCCATCCGCCATGTGGCCTCAAAGTTTCAGCATACTTATGTATTATGAAAATGTAGAAGGTGCCTATCGCCGGCTTAACTTTTGGGAATCTTAAATATAATATTATCATCTCCTGTCTGACTTATTAATGTTACATTGAAATATGTATATTTGTGTAGTAAATTATGAATTATATCTATTGTGTCGAATTTCGTATACAGTCAGCATTTCGACATTCTTCAATAAATGTTGCACAAATGTAGAGTATAAGGCTTTTCAGTCATCGGTTTATTCCATGAATTTTTCAAGTGATGTGATAGCTGGCCCCACCGCACTTTGCATCAACATTTACCTACGTCCCTTGGGAGCAGGGTTCCCGTCGCAGGAACCTTCATGCACGTCACTGAATTGATATGAGACACGACACGACGCAGTGCACTCAAACCCCTAAGCCCCGGCTCTCACGGCGCTTGAATGAGCATGACGTACAGAATCTCCACTTAGCATAATGCAACTTTCGCTGACTAGTTTTTTAGGTATTCTGGTGTCAGGCTTCATTATGTTAATGATATGATAACGATGAATGTATGTATTTACAAAACATTTGTGAGACGCGATAAAGCATGCATGCTTATAATATCGGTATTCTTAGTATTTCTAAATCTCTTCATGTTTTGTGTTGTGTATAATATGCATTATGTAACAGGCATTCGCATTTTGTTGTCCTTCAATTTTAATTATGCATTATATGTATTAGTGAAGGTTTATAATCAAGAGGGGCATTCTGTCAATGAGTTTCTAAAAAATATTACATACGAGTATGCATACTAAATACCAAAGTTATAGAGATTTTCTTCTCTTATTGTTTGTAGGAAATGCACACAATATTAAATAAAATATTGGTATCATTGTCAGTATAAAGACGGGATATCAAAAGGTCAGATTCATTACTTCTTTACGACACTGCAATGAGAGACACAAGTTTAATAAAGGCTCTTACCACATCTACGCCTCTAGGCTTCAGTTCCCTGCGCAGACAGGCGGCCATGGCGTCGAGAGCGGCGAGCGAGGCTGCGTGCACGCCGCGTACGGGAGCGGCCACGTGCGTCAGGATCGAGGAAGCCAGCACCACGCGACCGCGAGCACGACGCACCAGCGGAAGCATGACTTGCACCAGGCGGGAAGGACCTGTGTGAAGAATATAAGATTTTAAACTTTCGCGTTCCATATCAACTAAAATAGAAAGACACGGGTCTTAACGCGACGTTTATTAATGAGTTACATTATGTATGTGTGAAGGAAGAAGTTAATCTATAAATGTATACCGCTCACTGATTAATCAAGAAATCTCAGCAACAGTAGTAGACATCAGCTAAGAACGGCTTTTACGAAACTCCGACCCTGAGGGAGTAAAACGCGGCCCACGCGTACGAAGTCACGAGCGGTCGCTAGTCTGCTTAATAAAGTTTCCCGTGGATGTAGTAAGTGATGAATAAGGGAGAATTAATATGTGAACATTAGACATATTCTACACGATAAGCCCATTTATATTTGTCGTCTAAAAGAATCGATAAGATTGTATAATGGCCCGCTTTCTATCATATCATGTTACCTGGGAGTTAATATAACGTGTAGGTACTGTATGTAGGTATCAATTTCTGAAAATATTCCGCTTAAAGAACTAATTAACAATTCGATTAAGCTACGTAGAATCAACAAATACTTATATGCTGATCAATTTATTAGTTCTACCATTTGCCACTGATACTTGTGTAGATATTGACATCACAGGCCACAGCACATCTAGGTAATAAAAATCTAAACTCTATACTAAGATCTAGGTATTTATCTTTAACTACTGGTCCTGGAAAAGTACTGATTTCTATGAAGTACCTACTTACGTACCTAACTTTGAACAGACTTTCTTAGATATAATTAACCAGAAAGTCTGCAAAGTTTGATCGAAGTTAACTCGGATGGAATCTTTTTCGTGAGCTGTTTACTTATTGAGTGAGTAAAGTTCTTGATCATTTATGGATATTATAATTTGTATTTCTCGCGTAATTTAACTTAACAACAGCAATTTGTACTACTTATTAAGTATAAGTGGCATCTAAATTATTCCGAGTATTTCTCTTAAACATGAAGTAAGTAATTAAGTTGAAATGGTTCCGGAAATTATACAGACACTGCACATTCGTAACGACCATAAGTAGAAGTTATGGTACATATTTCAGAATACAGGGATTGTTGAACATTTTGAGCTAAATAAATCAATAAAAATACAGTCGAAAGATACTTTCATCAACATATTATATTGTAATCACTGGGTTGTTGTTGTGAATGAATTTGTATTATTATTTAGTAGTATGAATAGAAAACCTATTGGCAATGGTCTTTTGTATTAACTTATTTACCTGTCATTGTTTTAAATTATTACGTGTTAATCTGTAAAATCTGTGTCTGTAAAATGTTATTCTTCATATCATAAGTAAGGTAAACATTTAATCGAATTAGTTGTTAGGCTTCCCAAGAATTATTCAGAAAGTTTTAATTTGATTTCACCAGCACAAAAGCTGTTTTTCAAGAGCTTCAAGGGTCCTCTTTGTAATGTACGACGAATACCAGAAATCAGGCTTATATTAATTAGATTGAAAATTCAGCTACACACTGGGCCATAATAAGAAGTAATTTTACAAAGACTATTAAAATGTTGCAAAGTAAGAATTACCATCAGTTTTAATAAACTGCTAAGACTATTAATTAGCGGCGTCCTTATACAATGTTATTATGAACGAAGTAAACTATGATCTATAAAACTTAATAAAATGTATGCTCGATTTGCAAAATAATATTGATTTTTATAAGAACTGTAGCTAAAACTCTGATGTCTGACTTTGTTAGCCGCCAAAGCCATCAGGCGCAAACTTAGTTAATGTGAAATTCTGTAAAGGAACGACATTACTACGAACCATTCTTAGAATAGTAACAAATATACGAGTGAATTACTATTTAGGTATATGATTTTGTGTATCAGTGTCGTAGCGACACGATATGAGGTTAATCAGTTACTACGATATATTGGCTGACATCTGGTTAGTAAATCTGGCATGACAAAAGTTATAATAACAATGGAATGTAATTGAATTTTCTTTTTGTAATGTCGTCAATTATTACGGGATACAAGAGGTGTTGTAACCCGTAGCGCCATCTACGACGATTCGTAGACTATTACCGGCGTCGTAGTCAATTGTTGGCTCTTTACATTTATTGTTAGGTACCTATACTACCTATCTATAAACTTAATTTAATTTTTCTAATAATTACAACTATAATAAGCAATACATTAAGAAAAGCTTCACTAATCATTTAAAATTTTCCTGAAAATTTCGTAGTCCGTAGCGCCATCTACGACACGCGCAAGTACTACGGTTGGAAAGCGTGTCGTAGCGCCGCATATCGTAATTTCGTAGCACTGTGTGTTTACTCACCCAACAAGTTAACGTCCATTGCTCGCTTGATAACGGAGAAAGGCACCCATTCTAGTTCGCCGAGTGCACACCAGGATTCGCAGTTTACGATGGCCCAGAGACCCTGCGCGCCCTCTGGTAGGTGGTCCACGATGTATAAGCTTGCCGACAGAATCTACAGAAGAAGGTTCGTGTAAGTTCAACATGCTGGAAATTGAATCTCTGTAACTGAGCGTCATGGAGTTTGTTGAGAGTTAAACAGAGGGCGCAAGTAGTTATTTTGTAACTCCAAATCAACATAATTAGCATGTAACTATTTTGGAAAACAAAAGGAATCTATATTCAAAAGAGAGCTTCAAGTTACAATAAATATACTGAAATATTAATTTTATTTTTTATTTTCAAACAGATTTTGAAAAAGAAATTCAATTGACCAATGTGGCTTACTTACAATGTCATTTAAACCTAATAGATTTGAAGGGATGAATATAATAGACTGATAATACGAGTAATTAATACTCGACGGGACAATATATTCTTGATTAAGGATTACTGCTTTTAAAGGCTAATCAAGTACCAAAGTGTATATGTTGGCTCAATTCGTTTATTTTCCCCGATGACGCTTTCCGGCGTTGATCAATCAGCCGGCCGCTTCGGAGGCGTCCCACCGGGATAATTATTTACGCGGTGTATTATTACGAGCGAACAAATGTAATTAAAGTTTTTGTTCACGACATTTTCCCAATAAAGTGTTCGAGTGTGGTAAACATTGCGAGTATCTTTGTAATTTATAACAATGATGTTTAAGTAGCAACATCAAATACGCGAGTCGTTATCAAACATATTCTACGATAGGAGTACTGTAGCGCGAGTTCAAATATTGGATATTAGAGATGTGTAGGCGGCAGGGTGAGGTTCGTGATTTTAATATTTTCTTTTTTCGTTGTTGGCCTGAATTAATTTAGCGTCATGTACACCCTCAAGGTGATGTTTGCTGGGAGCGGTACATGTACGAAATTAATCTACAAAGGATAGACACTCTACAAGCCTTAATTAGAGACGCGGCGAGCAGTGAGGTAAAAGCGGGGTTATTAATTTACTGCGATCACACTTCGATACTTTTGAATTAATTTTATTGCATTGCAGAGAAATGGAAGACACAATTTAATAGTACCTATTGACTTTTCATTTTACATAAGGACGGCAAGAGTTTTACTAATTCCGATTTTCCTAAACACTCTAAACTCAATTCAGACTGAAAAGTAGTTTCAACGCTGTGATTGGTCTTATTTCAGAATTCATCCAATCACGGTCCTCAAATTAGGTTTAAAAGTTCGAATCGAGTTTTGAGTGTCATTTTAGAATACCAACCTTGATTTCGCTAAGAAGTAGCCTACTTACTTAACAGTTTTCTTTTATTTTCTTTCGAATATAATATTGGGAGTTTAAATAGTTTGGTCCTCAGCTTTTTTAAGGTTTGTTCAGTTTCAGTAATGCCTTTCATTTTATTCGGCATTTTAGAGATAAATTTAAAAAATGTTTATACACGATTATTACAATTATCTAATAGGACAACCAAGACATACACTGAAACCATCTTTACAATTTTTTTTACTAAATCTAAGTGCTGCCTTATAGGTTGCCACGGCATGCCGCTTAAAGAATCTTACCATGTCTAAGGCTGAGTTGCACCACCTAACTTTGACGTTTGTCAATATTAAAGTAAGATGGTGCAACCCAGTCTTAGTCAGAGCATTGGTCCAACAAGAAAAAAGTCGAGTATAGGTAAAGTTAAGGGAAATAAAACTTGAAAATATCAAAATTGTGAAAGCGAATGCAAGCAATTTTAGCACATCCTCACCTGAGTTTCCGACGTGATGTCTAACTGGAGCGTGTGCAATCTCCCAGAGCAGTCTTCTTTGAGCATGTCCGCGTCAATGTTGCCCGCCTTGCTCTGGAAGCCGGCGAACACATGGTAGCCCATGTCGTCGAGCCGCCGGGCCAGCGCGTTCCCGAGCACGTTGTCACACCCTGTCACCAGCACTGCCTTCCCCGCCGCCGTGACCTGTCCAACGCATCATTTTAATCGTGCGTCCGCAAAATACTCGTATGAACAATGAAATGAATTGTGACTAAGTGTACGGCACTTCTTCTCAGATGTTTATCTTGAAGCGCTCTGTATAAAAGAGTCATGAAACATGTAAAGGCTCCTAAGAGCAAAATTTGACGATTTGTAAGTGCTTATTCATTTAATACGCAATACACACAAAGCATATTGAAAGCGTACAAAGAAAATTTCTACTTGTGCTCTCATTTAGGCAGGGACTCCATCGCAAACTGAGCTCATACCAGGTCAGATTAGATTATTTCAATATGACTTCACTCGAGGGGAGACGTAAATGTAGTGAACTAATCTTTCTGCATAAGATTGTTAACTCGCTCATCGACTCCCCTCCTATACTATCATCCCTCAATTTCAATACCGTATACAGATCTCGAAGGTATCATCACCCTAAGCTTTTTTCTCTTCATGTTTTCCGTAACAATACATCATTCTACAACCCAGTCGTCAGAATGTGCCGCCTTTACAATGACACCGTACTGGCCCAACCGGACATCGACATTTTTACGTCTAGTCCAAATGCCTTTCGAAGGAGTATCGCTACCATTTTTAATTAACAATCTTATCTTATTTTCCTCTTTCACTATTCTCACTCTCACACACATAATATTATATTAATTAACATCTTAATTTTCTGTAAAACGTAAAATGTAAACTGAGTTTTTGAAGTTTTGATGTATCATTCATTATTAACCTATACTTTATAGGATGCATGTTGTTAGGTTACAATTTAGTCTATAAGCTTACGTGCTATATAATTTGTGAAACCTTAATTGTAATCTGTTTTGCGTCTTTAATAAAAAAATAAATAAATAAATAAATCCGTATGAATAAAGAGATTGTTGATATCAAAACAATGTTTGAGTCCAGCAATTACTCTTGTCTCAAAATATTTTGTATGCCTATACGATTGTTCAACTCCTTGCACCAATGATTGATTTTTTTTTTACATTCAGTGTTACTCTATGTCGTACTCGTCAAGTCTTATGATCAACTCAATGTAGGAATTTCGAGTAGGTATCTTTCCAATGGTGACAAAATTATTTGCATTCCCATTCCTTTGTAAAATTATAACAAAAGTCAAATTGTATGGTTGTCCCATTGGGTGGTATAATAAAATTATTTAAAACCAACTCTACCTAACAGCATTCAAAGGAACATGTTTATATACATATATCTTCCTAATATTAGAATGTAATTTATTTGTATTACAGGTAATTCGCTCGAAGCTCGTAAATAAACAATTATTCTCGACTCGTGTTTAATTTTTAAGAGGTGATCTCGTGGAACGTATTGCAAGCTTCCTGTCTCTCCCAAGCCCGACGTAGGAGTACATGAGACGTTTCGTTTGTTTTCAAAGTACCAGATTAAATATTTCTCATCTGTGAATGAACGTTCCGCTATATTACCGTGTAAATGTGCGGCGATGAAATTAAGTTTTCGTCGAAAATAGACGGCGACAGGTTGATTGATGTCCGTTATAATAACTGCTGAGTGAATATTTTATCCAGGCGTTTGTTGGTTACCTACCTATGCGTGACGTAATCACGCTCGAGGTTAACTATTTCAGGGTTGCCTAGGGTTTCTGATTTCTCGACTTATTTTTTTTCTCGAGTTTCGGGAATTCTCGAGGCCAAAGTCTCGAGTTTTCTCGGGTCTCGAGTCTTTAAATTAAAACTGTTGAAATCGGTTGAAATTTAATAAAAACACGGGTTTTTATTAATGTTATAATGTGTCTGGGTTATAATCAATAATACTGTAAAGTTTCAACAAAATCCGTTCAGTAGTTTTTGCGTGAAACAGTAACAAACATCCAGACATCCAAACTTTCGCATTTATAATATTAGTAGGATAATTATAACTTAATAATTAACTAAAGGAACAAAAGTCATAAAGTCGCGTGTACCTACTTTAAGGAATAACCATTTATATTAATAACCATAAATATCTGGAGCTCCAATTGAATCACTTGTTTTCCAAAGAACACAAGTCCAAATTAATTGTTAAATTACGATAATAAACCTACATTTACAAACAAAAAAAAAACTTTTAAATAAATTTTTAAACTTAAAGATAACGACTTGTATAAACGTATTTACGAGTACCTACCTAAACTAACAGTTAACAAAAAATTTTCAGTCTTTAAATCAGTCAGTTATACAAACATAATAAAATATAGCATACTCGTAGGCGAACATTATTGGTTTCGGTTAAGATCATTACTTGCAAATCAAATTAGTTGAAAAAAGGAAAGACTAGGCTAGTCTAAACGCAACGTTAACCTATTAAATAATTAAAAACTTATTTTTGTCTAAGAAAATAGGCTTTCAAAAAAATTTAAGCTTCAAAATCGAAACTCGAGAATTCTCGAGCTCCGGTATTTTTTTTCTCGTCTCGAATGAAGCCAAATTTCTCGAGTTTTCTCGAGTTCGAGAAAGCTCGAGCAGAAACCCTAGGGTTGCCTGATCGTTAATTCTTAATCTTCCAGTCCTCTCACTGTTCAAAGTCACGCACCAATCACAACCCGTGTTTGCATACTTGGTGATCGTAGGTTTTATGACTATTGCGACTCGTTCTGTACCTCTAGTAGGAAAAACTTTCGAGTTCGTTTCGTTGCGTATTCAAAGTGTCATCGAAAAATTTTGTATGAAAAATTAAACAGCGCCCCCTATATTATAGCCGCCCTAGGGGGCGCTGTTTAATTTTTCATACAAAATTTTTCTATTTGAATACGCAACGAAACGAACTCGAAAGTTTTTCCTACTAGAAGTACTGTAGATATAATCGCATCGACCCTTCGACCCCAGCGACCGCGCCGATGCATTTCAAAACAGGAATAGAAATAACTTCGCAATATTTCCATAGACTTCTTAACGTAACTGAGTAAAACTAGTAAACAAGTTTTTTTAGGAGGGCAAAGCTTCTATTATTTTTCTCGTTATTAAAGGAACTGAAGCACTAGAAATGAAACTCGAACGGCATTTAACGGTGGCTGTGATTTTAACCCGATAGAACTCGCGTGTAGATTTTATTGTTAGGAACGATATAAATTGTTATTATTTTGTCTTGATCTGAAGAAATAGGATGTTTTATTATTTTGGCACTTAGCTAATAAATATTATTTAAAGTGAACGCATGCACAAACTTGGATTTCCATGTTTTGTTGAAGTGAACACTGTTGATCCTGCATACTAAGTAGTTGCTGAATTTGTTTATTTATTTATTTATTTAAACTTTAATGCCAAAATAAATTTGTACATAAGGCGAACTTAATGCACTAAAGCATTCTCGACCAGTTTACCTTTGTTTACCGTTTATCGAAAGTACATGATGTAAGGATTCATTTTGAAAGTGAAATATTGTAATCTTTATGTTTCATATCAACTAGTTTTCTACCCACTCGACAACAAGAATAAGATAGTATCTATTTTAAAATAGATTTGGAATACTATATTGTAAGGTACAAAATAGGATGCTCGTACTACATCAAAGGTTACAATAAATCTATTTCTGCGAGTGAATGAAACAGTATGGACCAAGGAAAGTGTAATGGATACGAACCCTAGCCACTCAACTAACTCGAATAAATAAAATAGTTGTGTAAAAAAAGAACACTAAAAATAATCTAAATATGGCGAGTGCTCGCGTGTTAATGACATAGTTTGTGAGTTTGTGAGTTATTGAGAGTAGCAGTTAGAAGCCTATTAATAAATATTTATGAAATAAAAATAATGTTTAGACAAACTTTTTTTGTAATAGGATTACACATTTCATATTATTAAAAAGTTAACTTTTATTTTTAAATAAAATGTTATTTATAAAACTTACCATGGAACTAGCTCGGGGACCTGTTTATTACAATTAAATAGGTCCCCGAGCTAGTTCTATTTACTAAAAACATAATTATGATTAAACTTTATAGACGACATGTTTTTACAATTTACAAACAACATAAAAGGAAAAATACAGAATATTATCGAAAACGAAGCACTATGAGATTTATATGTGGTTCATAGAAAATAGGATAGTAGTGTTCTTGGAAGGTAATATCGTCTTAGCGTCCTTGAGGAATAATATGTTTTCAAATAACCCGTATGCATATCAAAGTCCCATGCTTGAATTTAGACTACAAAGCAGTAATAATAATGAGTTACACATATTTTATTTAGTGTGTCTATTCTGTAAAAACAGGACCATTAACCTATTTTAAATCGGACTTTCGAATGGATTGATGACGCAAGTGAGCTCCGAGGCTGGCACACTCACGCGCTCTCTCAGCCTTCGTAATGCGACACTTCGAGCACAATGTGTCACGTCAGATAAATCCGATTCCACGTTAGCATAAACTCGTTATTAATTAGACGATTCAATGAAACTTTATCAGTCTTAATGAGATATTCCCATTGACAATAAGCGGCTTTTTCAGCTTCAGCGGGAAATAGGTAAGCGCAGAGGGCTCTCGACGTTCTCAATGTTTTCAAGTTTCTTCATCTAATGTTTTATTTCAATTTTTAGGTAAGTACTTAGGTTAATCATAACATGTATAATATTATATCGATTTAACAATTTATTAGCTAATTGCCTGTTTTCTCTTGTATTCATTTCAAAAGTGATAAGTAGGTACGTTAGGTAGTTACATAGGAGCTAGGCTAGCAGGTAACAAAATTTCTCCCATTTGGAATCCATTTACAAATAGCCTCATTTGTAAACTGATGCAAAACATTCGTGTATTTGTTGGTGATATGCACCGCTAGGCATTTTCTCGTATAGTTTATATACCTACCAATGATGCAGATTATAACTTTTGTATATGCTAGGGTTTTGAAATAAACAAGAAGGAAAAAAATATTTTAAATTATTACTTGAAAATCTTAAAATTGTTGAACGATAGTGGGAAATAAACATATTGCTGCTGTAAACACTACAAAATAATTGTTACGTCG